GCTCTCTAGAACGTTTTCATGTGAATATCCCTCTACCAAATAAGAACTTCAGCAAGAGCCATCTAGACTTTAGATAATTTGAAACAGTTTCTTGGAAGGTGTTGTTTTCAGGTTTTAATTATGTAGGGTTATATAATGTTATGTAATGTTGTATAATGTAATGTAATGTTATGTAATATTATGTAATGGTATATTTTTTATGATGCAATACATTTCTACGACTCCAAACACCCTGGTTTATTTGTTTATATTATTTAATTCTGAGATATGTCAGTATCTTCATTTAAATAATGTGGACATATGGGCTTGTTTATTTACTTATGCTAATGTACTGATGGCTATGTGAGTTATTCATCAGGTCACATGGTCACTCCAGTCTAGCAGTCAGTCAGTCTCTTAGCAGCTTACATGTAGCATTAGGCAGTAATATGCGCTAGCTTTTTCTCCCACCCTCCCTCCACTTGGGTCTTAGTTGCATTTGAGGGTTATTTTTATTTACCGTTTTTCTTGTTTTAATTTGATAGTTAACTTAGGTTTTAGTTTAGTTTGTGTTATGTACTTTTGGTGCATAGTGGAAGGTGTTGTTTTCAGGTTTTAATTATGTAGGGTTATATAATGTTATGTAATGTTGTATAATGTAATGTAATGTTATGTAATATTATGTAATGGTATATTTTTTATGATGCAATACATTTCTACGACTCCAAACACCCTGGTTTATTTGTTTATATTATTTAACATGTAAATAATATGAAACTTCTAACTTATATTAAATATATTCTTTTTATTTTGTGTGTGGTTAATTTTTTTCTCTGCCTCATGATTGAGTATAGATCTAATTGATATCAAATTTTTAACATTAAAGTCTAGGTTCTGATCGTTGAGGGTGCCAGTTATCAGTTGCAAGACTGTGTTAGAACTTAGAAGATGTGTTATAAATTATATTTCTGGTAATTCTTGTAGAGAAAATCGGATCTTTTTTTCTCATTTCAATAGATCCTAGCTACCTAACTGCAGAATCATTTAAGTATGTTTCTATAAATTTTCATCAAATAAGACTTATGGAGCACTGTGCGCCCCTAAGCTTGTATTTTTCTATGATGATGAAAGATTACCAAGGTCTTTCTGTATGTATTCAGTTCAGAACAAACCAATGATTTATACAGATGGTGTCAATGATGTCATATAACTGAATTTGTAACTGGGATAAAGGACTAACTATTTGAGCAAATATGAAATAGATTAGACACAAATGGTTGAAACTAGGTCAAATTATTAAGTTTCAGGTATTATATAGAAGATTGTAGATGTCTTCATCATCACTCATGTCTTCCCAAAGGTAGAAAAAATAGAGAGTAATATGTGTGTTTTTGAGATTATTGAAAAAGAAATGTATGATCATTTCTCTGGCTTTAACTGAAATGAGGTCTAGGGATCTACTCAATCATATAACTAATCCATTAACTGGGCATATACTATCACGCTTAAATGAGGATAATTAAGTATGGTTATTGAGGGAACTTCTCCATGAAATAAGAATTTGTGAGAATGGGATAGTAGCATAACTCTCATATTTTATTTCCAAATACTGTATGTGTTTCAGGGTGAGATTATATTAGTGAATGGTTATGCTATCAATATAAATAAAGACATTCTATACCAATTTTCAGGTAACGATCAGATAAATGCAACATTTGATTACAAGTAATCGGCTTTTAGGCGCAGTTTATGCAACGTTGTGTAATTGCTATAATACACACACAATATGTAGATGAAATACAATGGTAGAATTGTTTAAATGGCGATTATGAGTGAGACTAATACGAGTCCTGCTACAACTGTTCTATAAAATGTAATGTATGAAGTTATTTCACGTTATCTGGACGATTGATTTTTAGAGTAATTTCAAAATTAAGATAACTTGTCGAATGGGTTTTGATCATATTGTTGATGTAATTCTGTACATATAAGTTGGTGTAATTCTCTACGTATAAGTCATATTGTTGGTATAATTCTGTACATATAAGTCATATTGTTGATGTAATACTGTACATATAAGTCATATTGTTGATGTAATACTGTACATATAAGTCATATTGTTGGTGTAATTCTCTACATATAAGTCATATTGTTGGTATAATTCTCTACGTATAAGTCATATTGTTGGTGTAATTCTCTACATATAAGTCATATTGTTGGTGTAATTCTCTACATATAAGTCATATTGTTGGCGTAATTCTCTACATATAAGTCATATTGTTGGTGTAATTCTCTACATATAAGTCATATTGTTGGTATAATTCTCTACGTATAAGTCATATTGTTGGTGTAATTCTCTACATATAAGTCATATTGTTGGTGTAATTCTCTACATATAAGTCATATTGTTGGCGTAATTCTCTACATATAAGTCATATTGTTGGCGTAATTCTCTACATATAAGTCATATTGTTGGCGTAATTCTCTACATATAAGTCATATTGTTGGCGTAATTCTCTACATATAAGTCATATTGTTGGTGTAATTCTCTACATATAAGTCATATTGTTGGTATAATTCTCTACGTATAAGTCATATTGTTGGTGTAATTCTCTACATATAAGTCATATTGTTGGTGTAATTCTCTACATATAAGTCATATTGTTGGTGTAATTCTCTACATATAAGTCACATTGTTGGTATAATTCTCTACGTATAAGTCATATTGTTGGTGTAATTCTCTACATATAAGTCATATTGTTGGTATAATTCTCTACATATAAGTCATATTGTTGGCGTAATTCTCTACATATAAGTTATATTGTTGATGTAATTCTGTACATATAAGTTGTAAGTTGGTTTATATTACAGTGCAGACATTAATTCTTAGTGAATGCCCGAAAGACCGCAACAAATAGAGTTCTGCCTATATAGCATGTAAGATTTACGAGCAGTTTTACATTTGATTGGTTTCCTGGCTTCTAAATATTCGCTTCCTAATTGTTCCTCACTATTACTTTATTAGTAGAAATTGAACACAGACTCATTTACTTTTCCACTGTTCTTTTCAATACACCAAAGCAGAAATCTATATGAAATCAAAAGATGGGATTATATTTGCATAATATAATGTTATGACTTTAAAGACAGAAAAACTGTGTCTGTATAGATATATAATTGATTTAAAGGGAATTAAGACATGGGTGATTTTGACATGATTGATGGTTAGATACTTGCAATCTGTCATTCCAGTGTGTAGGTCAATCAATTATATTGCCTCTCACTTGTCATAACTCTGACATCCTCGACTACTTACATTTATATATGGCACGAGAATGCTTTGCATAGGGTATTTTTATTTGATCGTTATTGTAATATTTTCATCCAACCAGACTTATTTTGACAATTGAAAGTTGTTAAAGGATCCTCCTTGGTGGAAGTCTAAAATTATGGTACATTCATTTCAGAAATATCAAAGTTTGAGTTTGTAAGAGTCACTGCTCTATAGTAGGTTGATACTGCAGTTAGCATCATCCAAGATGGTAGATAAAATTTTGTTTGGTATTTTACTTATTGACATTGGCATAAAGCTCTGCATTATTATGAGCTAAACATATATAGCTGATCTCCCCACGATTTATGCAGCCAGGTTATTTATCTTGAAATCATCAATTCATTGAAACATTTCTAGAATTTCTAAAATCCACATAAAATTACATTTATCAGATAAGATTTGTAATAATTTATCAGTAAGGATCAGTTTAAGTATTTTGTCAAAGAAAAAATGCTGGAACATAGGAGGAAGTATTTCAATATTGGGAAAGGATATAAATATGTTCTCCTAATTGATCCACTTTGATTTTCTCTCAGGACTTTTGCTTTATATACCGTATCAACGTGACATCCAACATACACAAAACAACAGAATATAGATTTTGTCTGAAAGGTGTAGTTGCTATTGAACAGTGATAATGATTTGCATCCCTGTGTATATGAGAGATAGAGATAATGATTTGCATGCCTGTGTATATGAGGGATAGAGATAATAATTTGCATGCTTGTGTATATGAGAGATAGGATTGATTAATGCTCTGGAATTGGTGTCAACATAACATCACATTATACATCTATATAGATCATAAATTATTCAAATCCAATCTTATTTTTTGCATATTGCATATTGAATGTTATACAGATAACACCAAGGGCAAAGTAGTAAGAAATATGTTTGCATACATTAGGCTCAAATCTTTTGATCTTCCGTGTATCAGGATTTTTGAAGAATGACCAGAAAACCAGGTTTTTCACTAAAAGTGAATGTAAAAATTTTAAATCCTGTAAAGACAGAAGTATTTGACCTGAGTGAGGTTAACATAAATGACCAGGCTGATACTGCAAAACAGACTTGTAATTTACAAGGGCCATAGTTTATCAGTATGAAATTTGCAATAGATATAAGTAATTTCATAACCTGGTGTATCATTATTTGATAAGAATCTAAATAAATCATTTTATAATTTGGATAAATCTATTTTATGAAATTCTGAATGATAAATGACAGCAGTCTCCTTTAACAAAATAATAACCTACTTCTTCTATCTAAAATATATGATAGATATATGAATAATGTATAGCGTTAAACCTGTATATCAAATCACCCCTCTAATCTGAACACTTCTTGATATAAATGATTTTCAGTCCAATTTTTATTCTGTCACCACCAGAAAGTGGTGACATATTGTTATGGTCTCCAATTTATGTGATGGCAGTTGGTGATCGGCAGTTGGCGTCTGTGACAAATGGTGGTGACATTTTGCACGTTAATGCCTTGTTTAACCTGCCATAGGCTTTCATGTTAAAAAATTACTCAAAATATGATCACCTGCAATTGGTGTTAGGACTAAAAAAGTTTTACTGCAAATATATGTTAAGATTAGAATGAATGTAAAGAAATTGTTTATTTGATGTTTCATCAATTTTTTGCTGCCATATTTATTTGTGTTTTATTTTTGTACTTTCAGTGTGTATTATACTTATGGGCACTAAAAATGCTGTACCCCAACACATTTTTCTTACTTAGAGGAAATCATGAATGTAGGCATCTAACAGAATACTTCACATTTAAACAGGAATGTAAGTACATACATGTATTTTGCTGTATATTGTTAGCATACATTATGAGAGACTCAGGCTCTTTATTTCTTTATTGCAGTTTATCAACTTCTGATGTTTTTACTACCAAATACAGAGATACATATGTATCGTATGTTAAATTATGAGAGATTGGCTGGAATCATTGTTCCAGTTATTATTGCTTTGTATACAAACAACTAAACAACTAGATATAATATATATTTTGCACAATTTGATCAAAATATATTGCCTGCTTTCTGACCAATCAGAATTTACAACTCAACCGATAATAAAAACTGCGAACAGATAATAATTATCATTATGGTATAGGTCATGCCTTATCCATTATAAGGTTACTTAAGTAATTCATTGCTTCTGTTATGCTTTCAGGTAAAATAAAATACACTGAACGGGTGTATGACGCCTGTATGGACTCATTTGACTGTCTCCCATTAGCAGCACTGATGAATCAGCAATTCTTATGTGTACATGGAGGTCTCTCTCCAGAAATACACACTTTAGAGGATATTAAGAAGGTAGGAGACAGGTGGTTGCACTGCAATGAATGTACCACTATAATCCAGCAATTAAATCAGTGCCTCGGGCAAATATTGGATCCAACTAATATGTGATCCATGACACAAGTCATATAACACCAAGATTTAATTTTGAGCTAGAAGCAGAAGATTGGATCACATTTGAGAGAAAATGTCTGAAATTGAATTTACAAGTAATAAAAATTAATAAGTCGGCCCTGTCTCTTGATATTCAGTATTGTTTGGTGAGAATATGTGTAGGAATGAGTAGTTGTTTGCATCAAGTCTCCGAACTTGAACCTTGTAGCAAGTCTCTCAACTTGAACCTTGTAGCAAGTCTCTCATCTTGAACCTTGTAGCAAGTCTCTGAACCTGAACCTTGTGGCAAGTCTCTCAACCTTAATATTATTTTAATTCTCAGAGTCTGGCCCCTTACATTATAGTTGGTAAGAAGGGATAATTCATGGAGATTTCCGAGCGTCAATGGCATTGGTAAGATAGACATGTCATGCGTCAAACCTGATTGTATAATGCAGTGCGGAAATGAGTAAAATAGCTTCAAGGTTATTATGAGTTCAATCTCTCTGACAGAATCTAAATGTTCTTCCTTACTACTTTAGCAATGCTTTTAATGCAATCTGTCAAACTCTACAACAAAAATATTCATAATATTCTGTGATATTGCCCCACATTTAGAAAAATCGATACTAATGAGAGTTTGTAAATGAATGTGTTATGGTTGTGGGTCATGGCTGCTGTAATTTGTTGTCTCGCTATTGTAGCAGAAAGTATTGCAGGTAATCCTTAATTTCCCAAAATGATGCATTGTATTTGTCAGTGCATAGAGCATGTAACAAATGGGATACTTTAATTTAGAAACGCTGTTGAAAGAATTTCTTGCAAGCTTCATTTGATTAACCCTTGCAATTTTAATATCATTGTTCAGTCCTCCTATAATCTTCCTGCAGTCTAATTGATCTGTAATATTGGTCAATCTGTATGAATATTCACCTATCAGTGTTCAAGACTATCTTGTCAAGCACATATCACTGTTGTTCATGACTAACATCTACCAATCTATAGTGTTCAAGACTATCATATCAGGTACCAATCAGTGTTCAAGACTGTCAAGCACATATCACTATTGTTCATGACTAACATGTACCAATATATAGTATATATAGTCTTGTACCAATCAACAGTGTAAGACTACCATGCCAGGCTCCACCCTTAGTGTTAGTGACTATAATACCAGCCATGTTCTTTCACTCGTTATATTCGAATAAACATCCCAAATAATAAGCTATCTGATCAGCAATGTACAGTGAGTCCCTCTCTATGGAAGACTTGTCGAAGAGTTACTTCCTATAGTTCAAAAATCTGTATGTCTGATTCTGTTCCGACCAGCCTTACTAGGGAGAATAAACTTATAGATTTCCCATACTGAGTAAACAATATCTATTGTACTCAGTCTAGCAAAGTACCAAACTCTATTGTTCTGAATGCTGAATAATCTATGCAGGCATCAAGCCTCTTCAAGTATGTTAGACATAACTATACATATTAATCTTTTCCCTTATGCTCTATCATCCTCTCTTTGATGACTCTTTAACTCTTTCATGACTGAAGGAACATATTGGTTTGAGCTCAGGTCATCGAGGAAATCTAATAACAGACTGGGAAAGTCAAGATTTGATGCAACTGGTCAGATAAGAAAAATATATGTATTTCAGTTATTGAACCTAGCATAACCTCAGCAGGATATTGTCCTTCATTGTGTCCCCGCTAGGTGATTGTTACTATTAATATGCCATATTAAGTGCAACTTGATTGATTTGGTGGTGTATAGTGCGATGCTGCTAAGTATTAACATTTGTTTATTTTATCAACTGCAAATAATAATAACATTTTCTACAAAAACATAATCAACACATGTTTTTTCAATCAGTGTATTCAAACAAACATCCAAAAATATAAGCTATCTGATTTTGTAATCTCTTTGGGATATATTGCTCTAATTGCAGTATATAATTATCACCTCGATTAATAAATGTGCATTCCTCTTTCATGACTGAAGGAACATATTGGTTTGACAGTACAGAAAACCTGTTTAAGTGGAACAAATTTGGTACCTCTAAAAAGGGTTCCAGTTGGCAGTTGTCCTAGTTATGGAGGTTCATTTAACATTAAGTCAGTTTTTCTTGGGACTGTGTAAAGTGTTCTACTAACAGAGATATTCTACTTCTAGAGGTGTTGCACTATTAATAACAGGATTAGCAGTGTGTCCATCCTCTGGTAATTTGGTCCTAAAATAAATAAATAAATAACATATACATTCTTGAGTCTTGAGATATTGGAAGGAATATTGAAGGAAAAATCGTTGTGTTAAAACTAATAGACAGTTTAGCCTTATTGCAAGAGATACAAAGGTTGATAGAGAGAAGTTGATTGAATGTTACGATTTAATACATCTAATCCTCACTTGTGTTTCTTTAGATTTTCTCAAGGTGCCTTTAGTACATGATTTCTATACATGTATACCATTACTGTTTCGCTGCAGTATAGCATGGTGTGTCCTTGTAGAATTGTTCAAGGGTTCTTAGTATTCTTACCTCATTCACTGCCCTAGATTCATGATCACACACCTGAATTAAATGTAAATATAGATAATCAATTTCAGTTCATTAAGACTTGGACACATAGTAGAATCGATTAGTGTTATATTTATATACTGTATACAGCTCTGCTATATATTAAAATGATAGATGATATTCTGAAGTTGAAAAGGACTGAATTTAATCTTATATTTGAGACAGTGATCTTGCTAGCCTTTTCTCAATACGGGGAGGGGGGGGGGGTAAGTAATATAATAGCTCATCAGTTTGACAGTGGGTGCAAATAGATTTTTAACAGAGTGCTATGTAATTTGTGTGGACGTGCGGTATTTTGTTGCTTGGGAGCACATACATTTATACAGTACAATAGCCTTTTATTCAGAGCTAAAGGCGTTTTCCAAGCTAAATTGATTCAACTTGAAATATCAATGAGTGTTGAGAAAGCTTAGACAGGTTGCATGTTATAGGACTATGAGATCAGATGAAAATAACCATGCAACTAAACAATCTTCTATAAGTGTCAAACTCTGTAAAATATATTTCATTGAGCCAATAGCTCTTCTGACAAGTCCTCAGCCAAAGATGAAATCTCTCTCCGTTCCCAATTTGGAATTTTATTTTCGTGAATTAACACATGGGGCTAATAACCTGATATTTCTGAGAGAAGTTTAGTATTCTTGCTTAAATTATTTTTCTAATTGTTCATTTTTGCATTTTCAGTTGGATAGATTTAAGGAGCCTCCAGCATTTGGTCCAATGTGTGATCTATTATGGTCGGACCCCTTAGAAGATTTTGGTAATGAGAAAACCACAGAACATTTTACTCACAATAGTGTTAGGGGTTGCTCATATTTCTACAGGTGAGTGTACTATATGGATATGTTTCAATGGGTACTCGTTAAGGTTTTAAACTGAGGTGTAGCACATTTTTAAACAAAACAAACAATGAATAAAAAACAGCATTGCATGACTTTAAATCTTAAATAAAAAAAGGTTTCTTCAGTGAGTTCTGCTTAACTAAAGAACTTGTGCTTCAAAAGTAAACCTCAAAATAATTTTTGTAATTTTATACAGTAAAACCTGTTAAGTATAAAAACCTGTTTAATATAGATTAACCTCTGCCAGAGGACCTGCAAATGAGAATAGAATTTGATGAACCAAAGATGTTCCCACTGGTCCATTAGACATGTCATTAGTGTTATGTGTTATCCCTGTCAATGACTTGTCTTTTGAGAAATTACATTTAAACCTAACATTGCACTTTGGTTATCTACAGTTTGCCGTTCAAACGAATTATAATGGTTCTAGGAGTTGTAAGATAAAATAAACCTACTCTGTGACGCCAGCTGTGCCGCTGAGCTTATGCTTTACTGCATTACTGTCTGAATGATGTTTGCTGGTGATATGGAAAAGAAGAATATTTATTTTGTTATTGTTGTTGATTTATGAATATTCTCATCTGTTGTTATTATGGAATTGTCATGGCGACAGTTGTTTTTGGATAAGAATGCTATTGAATATTTATGATTTTTCGTTTCAATTTTTCAGCTATCAGGCATGTTGTGAATTCCTCCAACAGAACAATTTACTTTCAATAATACGAGCACACGAAGCCCAGGATGCTGGGTAAGTACCTTCTCTAACTACTTAGGTTGGGAAGGATTATGGGTACCTTCATTAAGATATAATAAGAACTATAGAGATGTTATCTGCAGAATATTGTACACTCGTATATAAAAACTAGAAAAAGTGAAGTAAAATGTGTTTTCACAGAATGCCTTTAGGCTCACTCTATTTTTTTTATAAACATGTAATTCTACTGTACTGAGATAATACTGCCTTTTGTTGCTTATACTTGTGAGCTACAGTTTGATCTCATAAAATTTTCTTAATGCTCTTTATCCAGAAACTCATGAGTTATTTTATTGATTAATATCACATTTCTTATTAGCTTACATAAAAAAGATATAAACATTGTTGAACTATGATGAGAGCTCAGCTCTGACAGTTCCAAGATAATTTATGGTCTTGTATCTTCTATTGGCCTTTAAGGCTCATTTCCTACTCATTTAAATGAAGCTAACTGGCGCTTTAAACTCATATTTATTATTACTTATTATATCATTGGTGAAATTGGTGAAACATCTAATCTTTGGTTATGTATAAAAAGTTGAAATGTGAAATGGTAAGCTACTATAACCATAGTCACTAAGTAGATCACTCCAGGGGTTGATCTTACATCAGTTATGCACTTTACCTTAATAATTCACAAAGATGCGACAAGTAATATATTTTCTAGAAACTAATGGTATTTAATCCTACTGGGGGCCCTGTAATGTCCTTAGTAGCCCACTTTTAACATATGAGACTGTCTAGGGCTTCTGTATAAGCCTACTGGCTATTTAGGAAAAGGCATGAACATTATACATCATGTACCAGGTTGTTCAGCAAGTTTGTGGAAAAAATGAAAAAACATCCCAAATATTTTAAAAATATAATGGTAAAAGATAATGTTCATTTGACTTTTCAGTAGGCAGGGTATTTTTACGTCACACTATTCAATAAAAAAAAACAGAATAGTAGGCAAAGTAATGAGTCAAATGCATCATCTCTTATCTGCTTTCTATGTATGCATGCTAATATTTCTCATATTCTCATGAATTGTCCCATGAGGTGTTCAAGGTACTCTCCCTTGTTGTTATGCTCGTCCAACCCATTGGTGATACTGTGCTCTAAAGCCATCAGTGAAACTTGTTCAAAGGGCCACCTGGACTGCAGTTGGAAGTTCTTGCATAGTTTCATTCTGAACATTAGAACATATAGAGCATTTTTTCTGCGAACTTATTGAATGACCTGGTATATAACCATATTCATATGCATAGCACTAGAGTTAGTCTTGTGTGCTGTTTCATCGATTTCATATGATCAAATAAATTTGAAATTTGTTTTTTTAATAATTCATTAATTTGATATCATGGTGTCCTGAACCAGATTTTTAAGCATGGAAAATGTTTGAGGGATATGCATTGGCAAAGGAAGCATTGAGAATGCTAGATATGATGTTACTTAGCCTGTCAAAAGAAACATGTGAATGCTAGGACTGGTGTTACATTCCATGTCAAAAAGCATTAATGTTCTTAACTTATTCTGACAGTATCATAGATCTACCGACATAATTAGCCTAACACTGTTACAGATGATCCTTCACTGTGAGAGATTGCAATAGAACTAAGAGATCAAAGTGAAATAGAAATCTTGTCTTGTGTTTTATTGCATTTATTTGCATACTCTAGTCTGTTTCTTATCCTATAAATCTCCCAATTTATTTGACTTCCTATTTGAGGACTTTTATTGATTTTAGTCTACCTTCATGAACTTCAAATAACTTCTGTAAAATAAGTATTCAGTGATATTGGATCATTTTGTCTATTTGGTCCATGTGTCAGGATGACTAAGGTTGGCATAAATAATAAACACTTTGACTTCATCTTACCACCAAGAAATAGTGGCATTTTTTTATATCTACCATTTTTCTTTATCAAACTGATCATCTCCTTTCAGGCAATCAGGCTCTAGAAACCCCTGAGACAGTTGAAGATTCTAATTTCTTGGGGGTAATGCTATAATTCAGAAAAACATTTTATATTTATTTTGGAGCAGAACAATAACTTTAACTATACTAAAGCTGACTTGTGAATTTTATGTGAAGTTTAAAAATTGTAATTAAGCAATATCCTCCATTTGGACCCTAGAGAAATATGATTTGCTCATTTCAGTTTTGTTGAAGAATTCCGTAATGGGAGTAATTATTAGATACCAGACGTCTGCCTAGAACTCATATGTGGTGATAGTCATGTTTAAAAACCCGGAATAGAGAAAAGAGGGCATGAGGGGGGTGAAGCAATTTGACTCTGAAGATTTCAATTTTGTAAGAAATACATGCATATAAGATGTGTTTTAAAGAGACATAATGGGAGAAAGTGAGAATTTGAACACTTGGGCCTGTACCATGAAGCAAATGGAGACTAATAACCCTGAGGGACTTAGAGAATAAGTCGATCAGTGTAACCTCATTAGCAGTGACAATTTAAATAAAACACTTTCGACTTATTATGAGTCTCTGAAAGGAGAGTAGCAGGAACTGGTAGAAAATAACAGCACATCTGGGACAAGGACAATAGTAAATAACACAGGGAAGCTTCTCAAACAAGTGAATACCTCATATTGACTGTAAGAACAAAAATGTCAGTTAGCTCTGTTTCGGTATCTGAATCTTCTGTCAGATCTTTGGAAGGATTTGTTATAGCAATATCCCGGAGCTCCTTAATTAGGGAGTAGTTATATCTTTAATTTCCTCCACTTTTCCTTCCTAACTCTATATAATATTTCCACAAGATGAACCATCTGTAAAAGTTAAGTTTTTGAAAATATTCTGTTTTGAATGCTATACTGTGGATTTGTTAGTCTAGAGTTTCCTACTGCCAGGAACAGATTAATTTATCCAAAGATATGATGCTGGACAACACTTGATATTGGCAAATATTAAAAATCTCTTTCTCACGGTCATGCCAAACTTTGAAGAAAGAAATTGAATATTATATCATTATGTTGTTACTTAACCCTAGTAGGGCAAACGGGGACTATTTGAAGTGGAATCAATAATCAAAAGATTAATTTTTCTGATTTTTTTTATACATACAAGATTTATCTGAACCAATTTTCATTATTCAAGAATGAAAAATACTAGTAAATGAAATATAATTTTTGGGTAAACAGCGCAGTTCTACAAGGGAAAAATCAATTAATATTTGTTATATCTATAAAAGCAAGATCAACCCTAGCACTTTTTCTGATTTTCTTTTCTCACACTTGAACCTGTGAACACGCTTGAATGCTCTTGTAAGAGTAAATCCTATGAGGTCATTGATCTTTTGAACTTTGACGTTCTTGAAGAAAAGTAGGTTCTTGGACTCTCTGCTGGACAATTTATTTGAATCATAGATTTGTTTCTGAAAGAGTTAAAAGTGTCCTGGAAATTTCTGAAACATGAGCACATGGTACATGAGTTTGTGATTTCCTGAAACTAGACACTCTTCAGAATGTCTCACTTAATCAGCTCAATATTGAGACAAGGTATTGCAAAGGAGAAATTTCCTTCAGGGCTTGTATTGATTACTTATTTATAACATCATCGGGTTATATCAGATACTGTACATTTTACCTGAACCCGTATCTCAACATTCTTTTGTTCTATGTTTTGTATTACGCTGTTAATATAATGCAATGGTTAGAGTCAGTTTTTTCTATCTTGGAATGTTTCTTTCTGGATAGATATACATACACGATATATGTTTGTATATTATAAGATTATTCAAGTTTATAGATACCATTTTTGAGCTCTTCAAACCAGTCTGCAACATTGAGCATTTTCAACCCTAAAAACCAACATATTATATTAATGTCTGGCTAAATATGAACTTTTTAATTAAGGGAAAGACAAGGGTATGATGAAAATAACCATTATTCAGCACGCTGATCTGTCTGATCACCTCTCATTTAACCTTTAGCATGCTACCGGCGAGCGTAGTCGCCCGTGCTTAACAATCCCCGGCAACTGCCGGCGACTCCAGTCGAATTTAAACTTTCAAAAACTTAACTTTTTCCCGCCGGTCTTATGATCCAATCAGATTGCCCGATTTATTTAGTCCTTACGTGGGGACTTCCTGTTGACCTAGAAATGGCGATGTTTCGAAAAATATTTCTCAATTCAACGATTTAAACAGTGTTTAAGTCGTTTTTAGTGAACAAATCGTACAAAATGGCGGCCAAATACGATCACAACGAACATGTGGAGGAAATGGATCGCGATTTCGAGCTCTTTAGGCTCTTGGAAGCCGATAATGGTCATCGAAAATAGAAACTAGAATATTTTCTGAACTGAAAAATGAACATTCGATCGCTGCAAATTCAGTTTTGGATTCTGACCAGACGTTGAATCTCCACAGGGGCGAAGCGGCGGATTCCGGAGGAGTATTCATGGTATATTTATGCCCAGTCCTGTTTATTTATGTAAAAAATTCATGAGAACATTTTTTTCATGAGCCAGGCCAATGTATCTTCTCTTTGTGAAAATTTTATCGAGATTCATTCAGTAGTTATTGAGATATTAATTATTTAGTCCAGGCATATCATTTTTTGCACTCTTTGAAAAATAAGTCAGTCGCGTGGGATATATTTGCTGAATTAAGTTAGCATGCAGAAGGTTAAGTAAAAGAGAATGAACTACAGAAATCACAGTGGGCTTTGTTAACATTTTGCTTAACTTTGTAAGATATATATATAATTGTAGCAACAACAATGTGGTTCTAAATTTTGAGATCAATGCCACAAAATTATAAAATTAGCAATGTTCTGCTCTTACAGGCATTTTGCTTTGAGCTTGCAACTATGAATATGATTGCATCAAAAATTGATTATTTGCAGAAAAATGATCACAATGTTTGTATTGGCAAAGTATGCAGCTTGAATTGATTGCTTTGGAGATCCAGGCCATTGAAGAATCAGGAGCTGATCCAGAATTTAGTTACAGTTTGCCCTGTAGCGAGTCAGAATAGCTTGATTATCATATAAAGTTTATTCCCTCTAGTGCCTGAGGTGCAATCATAATTCCGTATTAAGTTGAGTTAGGTAGACAACTCATCTCATGGGGGAGCCAAGTTGCATTTAGCCAGATCTACACAATAGCTTTGCATATGGAGGTCTCCAAAGCACTTAGCTACCAATACCCATGGTGAATTTAAGCTTCATATAACAATATCATCATCAAGGGATTTTTTTATTATTCAATTTTTCTATTGTTCCCTTGATTGCTGAGATATTAAAAATAGCAAGTTGTAAAACGGTTATATCAAAATTTTCTTGAAAAAGATCTGGCGAACAGGTCATTTTGTCTTTTGAATTATAAATTTTCAGAATAGATTACTTTAGGTTAACTCAGTTGTATTCTATTTTTTAATATAGCCTTGTATGTTTTACATTTTCACACATTACAGTTTCTCTATACAGACATTTGAATTAATTCAAATTTGTCAGGTTTTCTACATAAAATGGCAAAATAATGTATGAATTTTGAGGATTTTTTAAAAATAAATATGACAAAGAATGATATGCCCCTTATAGCAATTACTATCATCTAATAAGGATAAACTATAAGAGTCAACATTGAGTCGTGTTCCTTCTGCACATTTTGCATGTTATACTTATATAGCCTTAAATCTTTAAGAAAAATGGTGATCACATGACAAAATTAGCCTCAGGAGGATATAAAGGATCAGAAGTCGGATGAATGAAAATATATTGATGTCTTGGTATTAGCCGCAATCTTATTCTTTTCCAATAAATCATAAGACTGTCTTGCAAAACCTTCATTATTCCTTTAAGATCATATTATATTGGCAAACAAAACCTCCTAATAGACACACTGCTGCGGTAAGATATATGAGAATATATAGCCCAGGCACTGTATAATGAAAATAAGCATGAAAATCAAAATTAATTTAGATTGTAATATGGCGATACAATTGTAACTTACAGGAAAGAATTTGATTTGATTTTCTTCTCAGGAAATCCTGTAAGGACGAAGCCACGTTAGCTGATGTTGCTCTGTGTATTGATCATTAGGTCTCTACTCTGAAGTGCAGCTTTAACGTATGAAATAGATATATTTTAATATTTCAAATCATACAAAGTGAACAGTCTTGTACCGAATCTCTGGTTACCTTTTGTGTTATCCGGACCTTGTGTTCAAGAGAATGTAATGCGTTATGATGGGGATTGTTGGGATGGAAAGGGTGCTAAGTGCAAAACTAATCTGCCTGAAATATGATTAAAACTGAATGAAGACTAATCAACACTTTTAAGGAAATAATTATTTGTTATTTAAATTGAATTATTAAAGATATATCATATTACTCATAACATTCTTTATAATGTTTGCTGTCTAACATTATTTACATTCTTATTAAAGCTTTCAAATTGTTTCTTGTGAAATTAAACATACATTTTCGTTTTCTTCTTTCAGATACCGAATGTACAGAAAAAGTCAAACAACGGGGTTCCCTTCTCTAATAACAATATTCTCAGCACCAAATTACCTGGATGTATATAATAATAAAGGTATGTAAGGGCATCTCTAATAAATACATGTTAATATTTCCTTATTTTGTTAAGTTACATTAGGTTACTGCAGCATTAAGGAAAAATAAATTTTAAAACTGGCATATTTTGTCTATTATTCTTTAAGCATACAGTGAATCAGCCAGAAAAAGCCTCATTTTTCTGCAATATGACACACTTATGCTAAACATTCATTGTTTCAGTTGACGAAGGTGAAGAAATACGTTTCTCATGGGGTTATCATATAACTTTTTAATATTCTGTTTCAATACAGCCTGTTTCTGGAATGATTCCAAATCACCATGAAAGTCTATACGATAATTGTCTCTGAGCTTTAATGTATCATTTGTGTTCGAAAACCAATCATATTCAGTTACTTGTCATGTTCCTTTTAATGTAGTATAAATGAATTTGTTATTTAAGAATGCACCATGTCATTTGATCTTAACAGTAACATGTAAAATTAGACTCCGGGAAAAACACTTCAGACCCCGGAAAAGCTATTAGACTTTGGAGCAAGAGGGTCTAAAGATATTAGCCCCTGAGAATCTCCGGAGTCTAAAAACCTAATGAGAACCCTGCCTCATATCAAACTTATAATAGTACAGTGTCTGGTTAGGTCACATGGGTGAGCTATTGTAATTATCCACTTGTTTAGTATCTTTTTATCATGTTTAAAATGTTATTCGATAAAATACATAATCATTACTCCGAGATTTTCTAATTGTACACCTGTACGAGTCGTACTTCTAATATGTCTTTTCTGTATTTCAGCTGCCATATTGAAGTATGAAAATAATGTGATGAACATAAGGCAGTTCAACTGCTCACCACATCCCTACTGGCTACCTAACTTCATGGATGTATTCACTTGGTCATTGCCATTTGTAGGCGAGAAAGGTAAGTTGTCTTGCCAACTGACTACCTCTAGTTACTAGTTGTAGGGAAGAAAAGGTACATTATCATGCCTAGCAAGAAAACCATTCATCTGTTTTACTTGTTTTACTTGCAACTTTTTCAGAAGCAAAAGCAGACTTGTATCATTATTCGATGAACTTTGGGTATGCTGAGTAAATAACAAGGCTCTTCAATTGGAGCTTTTTTTAAAAATATTCTCGTGTGTTCATTTCCCTGACTAAATAACCATTGATAATTGTGATCAGATCTTCACATTTTCATAAAACAGTAGAGTCATTTGATGTCATTTTATTTCCAGTGACGGAGATGCTAGTGAATATACTGAACATCTGCTCAGACGATGAACTCATGTCAGAAGGTGACGACACATTTGAAGGTGGGTAATGTTTATGTGTGATGTCATCAGATCACTGTGATGTCATCAATTTATGCATGATTGGATGGTTATGTTATTTGACTCGTATATTGATTTCTATCCTTCAAAAGTATCATTCCTCTCAACATGCTAACTAAAAAAATGTCTACATGATTTAAAGCTATTATCTTGCAACAATGCTTGCGAATTGCTTAAATAATGAATGAACTGCGGTTTGCTTTAGAGATTTCTATGAAGCTTTGCATCAATAACATAATTCCTACAATCCTGCTATCTAACTGAAAAAAATCCAATAAAAAATGTGATGTGCCAATATTTGCTTGATTTGTGTTGCTATGAATAAAATTTAATGAATTTGCCAAGTTTCATGAACATTAATTCTTTTTAGGAGACCAAGATGATGGTTTGTTGTGGTTTTTTCTCTATGTTTAGTTATGCAGTTATTAGTTTTACCCTCTCTTTCCGTTCAACCATAGTTATGATTATTTATTACATTGTAAATTGTAAAGTGCCTCTTAAAATGGAGCTAAATCCTTTTTAATTAGTGGATGAATTGTGTCCGTATTCATCTTTTTCCAAGATTTGATATCATTTCTGCTGTATCGTATAATAGTGAATTGTTGATGTGTATAAGATGTATGCTGTTAGCAGTGTTCGTGAGGTAACAGCATGGTAAAACAATGATATTGATTTTATTATAACTGACACTGAATATTGTCTCCATGTTTACGCATTTTTTTTTCATTTTGTATTAGATGTAGTGGAATTAGCTGAAAGTTGTGGCAGCCTATATTGTATTGTTCTGGAAAAGTTCTATCTTTTGTGATACAACTGTTTTATGACCACATCACACATTCCTGTTAAACTGAAAATATGTAAAAATAATTTCAAGCTCCATGTTATATATGGGTTACATCTATCTATTTGATGAGAGCTATGTTTCACTGTGCTAGGTTGGATTTTTAATTAGTTTAGAGAAGCTAAAATTGCTGTTTTAACAGGAGTGATAAAGTGAAATGTCAAAATTTTAACTGTTACTGCATAGCCATTTTAGAAGCTCTTAGCTCCAGCATTAAAAGATAAAGGGGTTGGCTGTTTCATTGGCACAATTGCTATTAAGGGGTTGGCTGTTTCATTGGCACATTCACTATGAAGGGGTTGGCTGTTATATTGGCACATTCGCTATGAAGGGGTTGGCTGTTATATTGACTATGAAGGGTTGGCTGTTATATTGGCACATTTGGTATGAAGGGGTTGGCTGTTATACTGGCACATTCGCTATGAAGGGGTTGGCTGTTATATTGGCACATTCGCTATGAAAGGGTTGGCTGTTATATTGGCACATTCGCTATGAAGGGGTTGGCTGTTATATTGACTATGAAGGGTTGGCTGTTATATTGGCACATTTGGTATGAAGGGGTTGGCTGTTATACTGGCACATTCGCTATGAAGGGGTTGGCTGTTATATTGGCACATTCGCTATGAAGGGGTTGGCTGTTATATTGACTATGAAGGGTTGGCTGTTATATTGGCACATTTGGTATGAAGGGGTTGGCTGTTATACTGGCACATTCGCTATGAAGGGGTTGGCTGTTATATTGGCACATTCGCTATGAAAGGGTTGGCTGTTATATTGGCACATTTGCTTTGAAGGGGTTGACTTATATTGGCACATTTGCTTTGAAAGGGTTGGCTGTTATATTGGCGGATTGGCTATGAAGGGTTTAGCTGTTATATTGGCGGATTGGCTATGAAGGGTTTAGCTGTTATATTGGCACATTTGCTATGAAGGGGTTGACTGTTATATTGGCACATTTGCTTTGAAGGGGCTAGCTGTTATATTGGCACATTTGCTATGAAAGGGTTGGTTGTTATATTAGCACATTTGCTTTGAAGGGGCTAGCTGTTATATTGGCACATTTGCTATGAAAGGGTTGGCTGTTATATTGGCTGATTGGCTATGAAGGGGTTGGCTGTTATATTGGCACAATTGCTATGAAGGGGTTGGCTGTTATATTGGCATATTCACTATGAAGGGGTTGGCTGTTATATTGGCACATTCGCAATGATGGGGTTGGCTGTTATATTGGCACATTCGCTATGAAAGGGTTGGCTGTTATATTGGCTGATTGGCTATGAAGGGTTGGCTGTTATATTGGCACATTCACTATGAAGGGTTGACTGTTATATTGGCATATTCGCTATGAAGGGTTGGCTGTTATATTGGCATATTCACTATGAAGGGGTTGGCTGTTATATTGGCACAATCCCTATGAAGGGGTTGGCTGTTATATTGGCACATTCGCAATGATGGGGTTGGCTGTTATATTGGCTATGAAGGGGTTGGCTGTTATATTGGCACATTCGCAATGATGGGGTTGGCTGTTATATTGGCTATGAAGGGGTTGGCTGTTAAATTGGCACAATCCCTATGAAGGGGTTGGCTGTTATATTGGCACATTCGCTATGAAGGAGTTGGCTGTTATATTGGCACATTTGCTTTGAAGGGGCTAGCTGTTATATTGGGACATTTGCTATGAAAGGGTTGGCTGTTATATTGGCTGATTGGCTATGAAGGGTTTAGCTGTTATATTGGCACATTTGCTATGAAGGGGTTGGCTGTTATATTGGCATATTCACTATGAAGGGGTTGGCATTTATATTGGCACATTCACTATGAAGGGGTTGGCTGTTATATTGTCTATGAAGGGGTTGGCTGTAATATTGGCACATTCCCTATGAAGGGGTTGGCATTTATATTGGCACATTCACTATGAAGGGGTTGGCTGTTATATTGTCTATGAAGGGTTTAGCTGTTATATTGGCACATTTGCTATGAAGGGGTTGGCTGTTAAATTGGCACAATCCCTATGAAGGGGTTGGCTGTTATATTGGCACATTCGCTATGAAGGAGTTGGTTGTTATATTGGCGCATTTGCTTTGAAGGGGCTAGCTGTTATATTGGCACATTTGCTATGAAAGGGTTGGCTGTTATATTGGCACATTTGCTTTGAAGGGGCTAGCTGTTATATTGGCACATTTGCTATGAAAGGGTTGGCTGTTATATTGGCTGATTGGCTATGAAGGGGTTGGCTGTTATATTGGCACAATTGCTATGAAGGGGTTGGCTGTTATATTGGCATATTCACTATGAAGGGGTTGGCTGTTATATTGGCACATTCGCAATGATGGGGTTGGCTGTTATATTGGCATATTCACTATGAAGGGGTTGGCTGTTATATTGGCACATTCGCTATGAAGGGTTGGCTGTTATATTGGCACAATCCCTATGAAGGGGTTGGCTGTTATATTGGCACATTCGCAATGATGGGGTTGGCTGTTATATTGGCTATGAAGGGGTTGGCTGTTATATTGGCACATTCGCAATGATGGGGTTGGCTGTTATATTGGCACATTTGCTATGAAAGGGTTGGCTGTTATATTGGCACATTTGCTTTGAAGGGGTTGGCTGTTATATTGGCATATTCACTATGAAGGGGTTGGCTGTTATATTGGCTATGAAGGGGTTGGCTGTTATATTGGCACATTTGCTATGAAGGGGTTGGCTGTTATATTGGCATATTCACTATGAAGGGGTTGGCTGTTATACTGGCACATTCGCTATGAAGGGGTTGGCTGTTATATTGGCACATTCCCTATGAAGGGGTTGGCATTTATATTGGCACATTCACTATGAAGGGGTTGGCTGTTATATTGGCACATTCCCTATGAAGGGGTTGGCATTTATATTGGCACATTCACTATGAAGGGGTTGGCTGTTATATTGTCTATGAAGGGGTTGGCTGTTATATTGGCACATTCGCTTTAAGCCGTATTAGAGCTGTATTCATTCAGTGAATTATCTAGAAGCAAAATTCTCATTTTATATATTTTTTTGAATATTACATGTATTGAAGAAAGATCAAAAATAAAAGTTTTATTGATTTTCCAAATGTTCATCTCAAGAGGTGGTATTCACCCCATCATGCTGTGTGCTACCACACTATATTGTTGCTCCAGTGAGGGTTCTTATGTTGTATTATGAAATTCTGGTAGAAGTGGATCATGTGTAGATACCCTCACTGGCAATGATAGTGTGTTGTCACATGCAGTATGAGACACAGTTACCATGTGTTTTCTTCAATCAACAATTTTGACTGAAAGGTAGAATTTAGCCATAATTGTATGTGTATATATCAGTAGATTAGCCGTTACTGAACAATTAAATGTAATATATTAATGTTAATGTGGTCCATTTTTTAAATGCACTTCGTTTTTCTTTCTTTTCTATTGTGGGCCATTTGATTTGGGTGCATGCAATGTAAACAGGGCAAAAGAATGGTAAGTCAGACTGTAGTGGAGAAATGAGCTTTTCATTTGCCTGATTTAACACTGGGTTTCACATTGCAGCTATTTCTAACAACTATGAATTACTATGGCATTATGCAACATTCTGTTGGTTAACAAATACTAGAGATTGAATGGGTCATTTGCACAGCTTTGTTCTTATTTTGCTGCACATTATAACAGAACACTTTGACTGGAATGATCTCTTCACTGTTCAGCTGGATGACTCTAACTGCAGTTAGCTTCATTCAAGATGGTTGCCGAGATTCTTTTGTTTTTCGATAAACCTTCGATTTCAGCTTTCGATTTCAAACACCCGCAATATTAGAGAATTTTAAAGAAAATGGCTTCACTTAGAATGACTCTTAACTGAAGTTGATGATCTATGTCATCATTACGTCATCATCAACTTCAGTTGGAGTCATTCTAAGTGAAGCCATTTTCTTTAAAATTCTCCAATATCGCGGTTGTTTGAGCATTTATTTGTGGTTATTTACCATCGTAGCTCTATTAATTTGCTTGGCGAAACATTTGGAATCCAGATTCAACTTAGTTTAGCTGAAATCGGAGGTTTGTCGAAAACAGAGGAATTTTGGCAACCATTTTGAATGAACAATGAAACAGTGCTCTTGAACCAGTGTTTCAGACTGTTT